CGTCAGTATGATTAACTTCATCTCATAATTCACACGTTACACTGCCGGGTAAATCGGTGTGTAAATATCAGCTCCAAAACACACACGTACACGAATAAAACACACACACACACGCACGCACATGAGCGGCAGCAGCCACAGCAGCCTCGTGTCCGTTACAGGTGCCAGCTAGCGTGTGACTATCAACACGCAGGTCGGTCGTTTTTTATTTTTCTGGCTCTCGTGACGTCACTGGTCTTACACGAACGCGATTCTGGATTCATGGCTACGTTTGTGGGATGTTCTGTGGTGTTGCGCTTTGGTAAATTGTTTTAAAGCATTTTGATTTGGCTTAGGGTTTTCCAGGCATATTTTTTTCATAGTTTATTAAAGGTATTTTGCCTTTCCCGTGCTTCTGTCTATCTGTTTGTCTGACTATGTGTTTGTCTGTCTGTCTTTCTGCCAGTCTGTCTGTCTCTCTGTCTCTGTTTCTGCCTTCTGCCTCTCTCTCTCTCTCTCTCTCTCTCTCTCTCTCTCTCTCTCTCTCTCTCTCTCTCTCTCTCTCTCTCTCTCTCTCTCTCTCTCTCTCTCTCTCTCTCTCTCTCTCATACCTCTCATGCTCTTCCCTACATCCCTTCACATAATATATCTGACACCTGTTTTTCTTACTGATATAAAAATATAGTGAAAACAACTATTACAATGTCAACAATCGTAATTTCTAAGTGAAATTACAGAAGCCTCGAAAGTGTCTGAAATTACTAGCTTCCTAACAGCTGGCTTGTGCCACCTCTGTCGTCATCAGATGCCTTTTGTTTTGTATCCTATTTCTGTCTGTCTGTCTGTATATCTGTCTTAGTCTGTTTGTTTTCCTTTTTTTTTTCTTTATCTTTTATTTTCTCTCTCTCCTCTTTCTCTGTTCTTTCTCTCTCTCCTGTTTTATTCCCCTTCCCTCCCTTCCCCCTCGCTGTCACTTATTTTCTCCCTCTCATGTTTTTTTTTTCTCTCTTGCTCTCTCTTCTTTAATTTCTCTCTCTTTTCTTTAATTATCTCTTCCTCTCTTCTCTCATTCTCCCCCTTAACACCTTAATTAGCCCTCATTTCTGCCTCATCTACCCCCCCCCCACCTCACCCTTGATGTACCTTCACCCTGATCACGTGACCTTGTGCTTTCATTGTCTTGGAACAAAACTCTTGTTAAACAGTATTGTCGTATACAGGATGTAGTTCCCCGCTTGTGTTCTGTGCTTTTGTCTCTGTCTGTCAGTCTGCTTGTGTCTCTTTTTCTCTCTCTCTGTATTCTCTGTCTCTGTCTTTGTCTCTCTGTCTGTCAGTCCGTCTGTCTGTGTCTCTCTTTCTCCTAACCACACACGCCGGTGTTGTTCTCGTGTATTGTGTGTGTGTGTGTGTGCTTGTGTGTGCATATATATGTGTGTGCATTTGCGTGTGCGGTCAATTCTCGGTGGACCGTTGGCTCGGGGGAGAGAGGTTTAGTAAGAAAAAAGATTTATGAAAAAAAACTAAAAAAAAATCACGAAAAAAAATCATAGCCACAGAAACAAAGAACGAAAGGAAAATCACAAACATGTGATCAATAACGGGCCAACAACTCATTTCGTCCAGCTTAACTACCAATTACAGAGAACGTCTAGGTGTAACGATTCGCCCAGAAGTCGATTCCCATAGGTCTATCAACCTGTCTATTCCACTCATTAATTAACTCTCACCTGCATCACGCATCTAGGAGATCACCGCCGCCCCAAAAAAAACTTTCTCTTTCTATTTTGTCTTCGTTCGTTACCTGCGCGAACTTTCTCTTTCCGTTTTACCTCTTGCGCGAAGAATCGATTTTGCGCCTTTGATTCGCTGTGCTATCGTCTGCACTTTTTTTTTATGGGGAGGGAGAGAGAGAGGGAGAAGGGAAAGGATAGAGAAAGGAAGAGGAAGGAAGGGGAGGGGGAGGGAAGGGAGGGAGGAGGGAGGGAGGGAGGGAGGGAGGAGGGAGGGAGGGAGGGAGGAGGGAGGGAGGAGGGAGGAGGAGAGGAGGGAGGAGGGAGAGAGAGAGAGAGAGAGAGAGAGAGAGAGAGAGAGAGAGAGAGAGAGAGCGAGATGAGAGAGAGAGAGAGAAGAGAGAGAGGAAAGGCAAATAGATAGAGAGAGAATGAGAGCGAGAGAGAGTTAGAGATAGATTAAGAGAAAGAGAAATAAAAGGAAGATAGAGAAATGAAGGGAAGATAGAGAGAGAAAGGGGAATATAAATAAAAAGGAGATAGATAGATAGATAGATAGAGAAATAGAAGGAAGATAGATACATAGAGAGAGAAATGAAAGGAACATGGATAGAAAGAGAAAGAGAGAGAGAAATAAAAGGAAGATAAACAGATAGCTAGAGAGAGAGTGAGAGAAAGATGGGGAAGGAGATAGAGAGAATGGGGATGGGGTTATCGTGACTTTTTTATTGTCTATCTTGACTCCCTTTCTTGTTCTTGCTTTATTGTTGTCGGCGTGTGTCTGTCTGTCT